GGGAGGGAGGGATGGCAGCAGAGAGAGAGAGAGAAAAAAAAAAAAAAAAAAAAAAAAAAAAAAAAAAAAAAAAAAAAAAAAAAAAAAAAAAAAAACGCCGACGCTATGCACGCACGCTCGCTCGCTTGCTCCAATCAATCCATCATCATCAACCATGCACGCGTACCCAAGCAAACACCACGAATTACCTCCTCCCTCCTCATTTAATCAATCCCTCACTCAACGCACTCAATACGCCACCCCCCCAGCACCCTCACCCCCACCCCCACCCCTCCGCACACCCCACCCGCTCAGCCGCTCCTTCTCCACCCGACCCAACGGCCCACTCTCCGCAGACTCGCTCGTCAGCGCCCCGTTCGAGGCGCAGCTGCTGCTCGTGCCGCCGTTGCCGCTACTACTGCCGCCGTTGCTGCTTGCAGCTCCGATACCCAATCCGGCGTAGCCGGGGGCGAAGGGGTTGGTGATGGTGCCGTTGCCGGCTGCAGGTCTCGCAAACGGGTTGTTGTTGTTATTGCCAGCAGCGCCAGCACCAGCGTTAGCGTTGGCGTTGGTGTTGGTGAACGGATTCCTAGCACCCGCGTTCGCAGCCGTGTTACTAGCCGTCGTCAGCGACAGGGATAGAGATAGCGACGTCGAGGCCGCGCTGCCCGGCGGGCTGAGGTCGCGCAGGAAGGCGTCTGCCTTTTCGGAGCCGACGCGGCGGGTCAGCAGGTCCGAAGGCTGGCGGTGGTGGGCGTGCTGCGATTGCGGTTGCGGGCGCGGGCCTAGTAGCGGGCCGCGGTGCGGTTGCTGCTGCTGCTGCTGCTGCTGTTGTTGTTGGTGTTGGTACTTGTACTGCTGGTGGTGCTGGTGGTGCTGCTGTGGCTGGGGCTGGGGCTGGGGCCTGGGGGGCGGTGGGGGGAAATACATCTGCTGTTGCTGTAGCTGCTGTGCCGTCATCGACGGCGGAGCCGGGAAATTCATCTGTCCCTGCTGTTGCTGCTGCCCTTGCTGCGACGGCACCGGCACAGGCTTCCGCGCGACCTCAGACATAGAAGAGGCCAGGCTGTCCGTCCTCGGCACGACAGGGAAGCGCGTAGCCGCCCTCGAAGCGGAGCCACCGCTGCCGACTCGTCCCGCCCTACCACTGCCACTGCCACTGCTCGCACTGCTCGCGTTACTCGGCGCGCGCTCGACGCCTCCTGCACCAGGACCACCGAACCCGCCACCAACGCCAGCCACGCCGGCTGCGACGCCTGCGGCCGCGACCCCCGCCGCGATGATGCCTATGGCGGTCTTGGTCGGCGCGGTCGCCACCACGGGCGCCGGTTCCGGGCTCGTCCTTGACGACGGCGGGGACGCGGTCGCCGCTCTGCTGGCGCTGCGGCTTGCAACGGGCGCAGGAGCAGCGACACCAACGCCACTGCCCTCAAGCTCGGCGAGCTCGCCCGCGCGCTGCACGCCAGCGCCAGAAGCCTGCACGCCAACACCAGCAGCCGCAGCAGCAGCCGCGTCGACCTCACTGGGCCGTCTCGGCCGCGGCGGCGCCTCCTTCCGCTTCTGCGACGGCCACTGCGTCAGTCGCTGCCCGGGGCCCTGCTGGCCCTGCGCCCACGGCCAACTCGGCATCGTCTGCTGGGCCGCCTGCTCCTGCATCTGCAGCATCTTCGGGCTCTGCAGGAGCGCGGTGCCGCTGCCGGGGCGCTTGCGCGGGATCTGCAAGGCCGCAGGCAAGTTGGGGAGGACGGGGGAGCCGGAGCGCGAGCGCGCGCGGTGCTCGCTCGCCGTGATGTCCGCGTCGGCGGCGCGCAGCTGGCTCAGCGTCGTCATCGTGCTGCCGATGCGGCCGCGGTCTTGGTCCCGCGCTGCTTTCGCGTAGATGCGCTCCCAGGACCTTGACTGCGTGTTTGTGTTCCTGTTCGTGTTCGTGGCGGAGTACATGGACGAAGAGCGGATGCCCGACCCGCGCGACGCCCACACCGGGCGCACCGTAAGCGGGCGGCCGACACCGCGTTCGCGGGCGCCGTAGACCGCGCCGCCGGCGGCAGCCGCTTGAGCCGCGTCCTCCTCGAACAGGGTGGCCGAGCTGTCGGGGCGGCGGTTCTGCGTCGTGGCCGCCTGCGCAGGCGGCTGCAGAGGCTTGAACTGCGGCAGCGGCTGGGTCGGCTGCGCGGGGAGGCCGAGCCGCAGCGCCGCTTCTGCGACCGCTACGGCCGCGACGCCGGGTTCCGTGCTCACGGCGCGGCCGACCTGGTCCGGGGGCGTGGCCGCCCTTTGCTCCTGCGGCGGACTGGTCCTGCCCGCACCCACGCCCGTTGCGCCGCTCATCAAGCTCCCCTGCCCACCACTGACATAGCGTCCCCAAGCAGCACCATCCCTCTCACCAACCTCAGGCCGCCCAGTCGCAGACCCAGCGCCCATACCCGCACCCATACCCGAGCGCGCCGTCGTGCCCGTCGTGTCGTCGTAAAACGCCTCCTTGCCATACGCAGCCTGCAGCACAGCTTGGCGGCGCGCGCGATCGCGCCTCCGCAGACACGCGAGCAGGAACAGTAGCCCGGCGGCCATGGCGACGGCCGACGTCGACGCGATCGCGATCCCGATGATTTGCCCTGTGCTGAGGGGTTTGGACTTTGTGGGTTCCGAGGGGGTGGAGGTGGCGGCGGCGGGGGCGGGCACGGGGACGGAGGGCGTGAATGTTGATTTTGAGGTTGTGGCGGTGTCGGAGGGGGAGGAGGGGGCGCCGGTGGTGGAGGATGTAGGTGAAGAAGTAGAAGAAATGGTGGTGGAAGAGATGGTGGAAGAAGTAGAAGAAGAAGAAGAAACAGTAGACGAAGAAATAGAAGTAGAAGAAGTAGAAGCGGAAGTAGAAGGAGAAGTAGAAGCAGAAGTAGAAGAAGAAGGAGCAGAAGTAGAAGTAGAAGACAACACGGCCGACGACTTCGCTGTCGCCGTCGCCGTCGTCGCCGTCCCCACACCATTACCAGTACCAGTACCAGTACCCGTCGCCCTCGGACTCGTCGCGCTCGTCGCCGTCGTCTTCCCCGTCGCCGTCGCCGTCGCCGTCCCCTTCAACGACACCGTTGTGGTCCCCACCCTCGGCGCCACAGCCCCCGGCCTTCCATCGCAGACATCATACGCGGCCTGCAACTGCTGCGTACTCACCTCCCCCCCAGTCTCCCTCTTACCCACACCCAACCCCCTCTTAACACCACCCACCCCACTCACACTAACAACCCCCACCCCACTACCACCCGTGATGTCCGAGCATTCCCGCTCAATACACCCCAGCGCCGCCTCCCCAAGCGAGGACCCCGAGTCCGAGGCTGTGGCCGCGCAGAGGCAGTCGATGGCTGCGTCGGCGGCGGTGGCGGGGTCGGGCGGGAGGCATGCCGCGGGGAAGGAGGTTTGGAGTGTGCGGGCGAGGCAGGATTGTGCGCAGGGGGGGAGGAGGGCGGATAGGGTTGGGGGGAGGGATGGGGGGGTTTGGCGTTTTTGAAGCTGGGGTTGGGGTTGGTGGTGGGGGTGGGGGAGCGCGAGCGTGAGGGTGACGTTGAGGGTGAGGGCGAGGGTGAGGATTAGGCTGGCGATGCGCAGCATGGTGGTGTAGATAGGTGGGTGGGTTGGGGTATGGGCCGGCCCGCTCGCTCGCTCGCTGGGTGGGTGAGACCTTTGCGGTTGCGGCTAAAAAAAGAAACTGGGGAGAGCCCGGCCGCCTGGGCGGGGTAACGTAACTAGAAGGAATAGGAAGGGAAGAGGAAAAAGAGGAGGGAGAGAAGGGAGAGAGAGAGAGAGAGAGAGAGACAGGGAAGGGAAGGGAAAGGAAGGAAAAGTGTATGAGGAATTACGACATGGGAGAGGGGGATTACAACAACAAGCAGCAACAGCTCGCGACTGCCGATCAACGGCACGGATCACGAAAGGAAAAGGAAAAGGAAAGATGGAAGGGATTGAAGATGGCGACGAGAAGCGAAGAGAAAGAAGAAACAACTAGGCACCAAACACAGGCACGCGGGCGGGCGGTGGTTCAGCATCTGATATGGCGACGTGCAAGCGCCGGGCCAGCAGCACGGTGCCGTCATTGAGCGGGGGAACAGGCGGCTGCTAAGCGCTGGCATGGGAATAACGAGAATATACCTACCCTTCCCGGCTGCTTGCGACAAAGGGCGCTTAGGCACATGACGCAAGGCACGACTATCGCGCAGCTGAAACACCGCTTGCCGTGGCTGTGCGAATAGGGGACTCATCGAGGGTTGCGCAAGCCTTTTTCTTCTCTGCGGGAAGAATCCGAGCGGCCAGGAACGCGCACGGCGACCCGGAGGCTGCGAGAATGGCCCATCGAAGAGTTGATTAGCCATGCATATGCAGGTTCTAGACTCGTTCGCTGTCGTGGCAGAACAGCGACGGCCGACGGGCTCCAACGGCCATTCCCAGCGAATCACGCGCGCGCCTCCGACTTCATCAACTCCCAAGGTCCCATCTTCCTCGCTTTCTCCACTTCCCACTCTCTCCGACCGACCCTTTGACGCTAGAGCTTGCGCACGCTTTCTCCGCACCATCCGCGCCCAGCGCACGCAGCAAGCCCAGCCCAACTCCCGCCACACCCGCCCCGCCGCCGAAACGAACACGAGACCCGTCCAGCCAGAGGGCATGATTGTCATTTGCTCCCAAAAAGCACGAGAGGAAAAAAATATACAAATATAATGAGAAGAAATCTCCATTCCCTGCCGCGCATCCCTGCCCGGCGCCGATAACTTGTATGCCGGCCGTTCGAGAAGCTTGTAGCGGCTGATCTTGCGCCTGCGTGGGCAGGAGACCGTGGACCCATACGTGCGCGACCATTATCCCATTATCGACGACGACGACGACAGCGGCGGCTGCTGCGGCGCCGAGGATCGGCCGTTGGAATCGCAAGGATGGATTGGAAAGTGTGGCAGGGGGGAGGAGGGGGCGGGGGAAGGAATGATTGATGATGATGATGATAACGACAAGACAGCGCGCGCGCGCGCGACAACGACGACGCTTGACGCTTGACAATTCAGGTCAGTGCATAGGTGGCAGGCGAAAAAGCCACAACACCAACGATGTAAGACAGAGGAAAAAAAAAAAAGAGGATCCCCCATCCATCCGGCTAAGAATATAACACACACATGGTGGGGCGTTCTTGGAGGCGATGCCGCTTTGGGCCTATCTCGACCTTGTCGCGATGACGACTCGCGAGCCACCTTCCAGTCCCCTAGCGATCGCCCGTTGAGCGTCCTGCTTTTTAGTCTAGCCCTGATCACCGTACCCGGTGCGCCGCATGTGTCTGCTACCGATCCTCCACCTCCTCCTCCGCCGCCGCTCTGCGCCCACGCGTTTAATTACTCATCTCGCCCTCAGGGTTCCCGCCCGCGACATTGTTGGACTCTCGCCTTTTTCTCTCGCTCCCCTAAGACATCTCCCTGAGAATATTCCATTGACGCCCAACCAACCCATTGACCCGTGGTGTCTCTTTTTTTTTCTCCCCTCGCAATCTCCGCTCTCTGCGCCGTCCGCCATTATCAAGAGCCGCTGGGGACGTGACTTGACTGATCGGCCTGCCATTCATCCCTCCCTTCCCCGAGCGCCGCGCACAACCAGCGAGAGAGAGAGAGCGAGACAGAGTCGTGCCGGCTCCTCGTACTTTCATTCCCCCTCTAGCTCTGCTATCGAGCAGCCAAGAAAACGTCATAGCTCCCGGGGCTCCACTTTCCAGTCAGACTGTATGAACCCTCCATGGGACGTTCCCCCCTCCGGCCAGGATCACCTTGCGGAGATGTCTGCATCCTCTAGCAACCTGCCCTCGCCGCCCGAGGCCAACGACCAGCCGCCGCCTCCCTACCCGAACGTGCCCGCCATCAGCCTCAACCGCTCGTCCGTCCAACCCACCCCGCCGACGACCAGCGAGCGGCCGCGCGGCGGCAAGCGCGTCGGCTTCACGGCCTCGTCCAACCTCGACGAAGCGCCCCCCGTCACCGATGACCGCCTCAACCCCCGCTCCGCCGCCACGTCGACGCGGTACCAGCCGCCGTCGGAGCCGGGCTCGGGCTCCGTCACGCCGCGCGAGGGCGCCGGCGCGTACCTCTCGCCGGTGACGAGCCGCGACGACCGCACGCCCGCCGAGGCCGAGCTGGTCAAGGCCGTGCACAAGGCCTTTGGACAGCCGCTGCCGTCCAAGCCCAAGCCCGCGATCCGCAAGAAGCCCTCGATCAGCAGCAACCCGTTTGCGTCCATCGAAGACTCCGAGGACGACGACACGCCGGCGCGCCGCGCCCGCAACGACGCACATGACCGCGCTAACCGGCTGGCCCGGAGCGTGGGCAGCGCGGGGCCGTCGGCGCCCGGGTCGCGCCGCGGGAGCAACGAGAGCGCCGACTCGATCCCCATGGAGCCCATAGGCCTAGGGCGGTCCGGGTCGCGCCGCCGCCAGCAGGCTTACATGGAGGACCTGATCTCGGGCGACGAGGACGACGACGACGTCATCTCCAAGCCGTTGGGCGAGGGCACCCTCACAGAGGCCAGGCGCCTCGTGAGCAACCACACCAAGCGTGAGCAGGGGCAGCGCGTGGCGCTGCACACGGAGCCGACGCCGCTGATCTCGCGCCCCACCACGCCCACCATGGACCAGCGCCTCGACGACTACGTGCCGCAGCCGGCCAAGTACCGCGGCGGCATCTTCGGCGCCCTGCTGAACCTGTACAGCACGCAGGGTGGCATGGCGGGCGCCATGGGCGGCGGCAGCAACGGCTATGCCGGCCACCACCGCCTCGGCAGCAACGCCACCACCATGTCGGCCAACACCAGCGGCACGCCCACGCCCGGCGGCGTCACGCCCGCCATGACGCCGCAGCCGTCGCCGCCGCAGTCGGGCACCACGACGCCCGTGGGCCGGAAGCAGCGCCCCTGGTACGCGGGCGGCCACAGCACGAACCCGTCCAACTCGTCGCTGGCGCAGCTGGTGGGCTCCTCGTCGGTGCTGGCATCGGCCGCCACGCCGGGCGAGATGAACGACTCGATGGCGGAGAAGCTGAAGCGCACGCCGCGGCCCGGCATGGGCAAGCGCACGCGCAGCGGCGGCTCCATCAAGGGCGCCATGCACCGCCTGGGGCGCCCCCGCCTCGAGGACGAAATCCGCATCACGGTGCACATCTCCGAGGTCATGGCGCGCCAGCGCTACCTGCTCAAGCTGTGCCGCGCCATGATGCAGTACGGCGCGCCGACGCACCGGCTGGAGGAGTGCATGAAGATGAGCGCGCGCGTGCTCGAGATCGAGAGCCAGTTCCTCTACATCCCGGGGTGCATGATCATCTCGTTTGACGACTCGACGACGCACACGACCGAGGTCAAGCTCGTCCGCTCCCAGCAGGGCGTCGATCTCGGCAAGCTGCGCGACACGCACGCCTGCTACAAGGACGTTGTGCACGACCGCATGGGCGTGGAAGAGGCGACGCAGCGGCTCGAAGAAATCATCAAGCGCCCCGCCAAGTACAAGGCGTGGTACCTGGTGGGCGTGTACGGGCTGGCGTCGGCATGCGTGGGCCCGTTCGCCTTCCAAGCGCGGCTGATAGACCTGCCCGTCGCGTTCCTGCTAGGCTGTCTGGTGGGCTACCTCCAGCTGATCGCGGCACCGAGCTCGCACCTCTTCAACAACGTCTTCGAGATCGCCGCGGCGGTCTTGACGTCCTTTTTCGCGCGCGCGTTCGGCTCCATCCGCGGCGGCGAGCTGTTCTGCTTCGCCGCCCTCGCACAGAGCAGCATCGCGCTGATCCTGCCAGGCTACACGGTGCTCTGCGCCAGCTCGGAGCTGCAATCCAAGCACATTGTGGCGGGCTCGGTGCGCATGGTCTACGCCATCATCTACTCGCTGTTCCTGGGCTTCGGCATGACCATCGGCATCGTACTCTGGGGGCTCTTCGACAAAGACGCCACATCCACAACCACCTGCTCGAACCAGATGCCCGTGAACTGGACCTTCTGGTTCGTGCCCGCCTTCACCCTCTGCCTCTGCGTCATCAACCAGGCCAAATGGAAACAAGTCCCCGTGATGGTCGTCATCTCCTTCGTCGGCTATATCGTCAACCACTTCTCGTCGCTGCACTTCACGGGGAACACGCAAATCAGCAGCACGCTGGGCGCGCTCGCCATCGGCGCCATGGCGAACCTGTACTCGCGGCTCGGGGGGAAAATCGACAATCTCGTCCTCGACATCTACGAGACGTACATGCGCCCGCGCATCCGCTCCATGCGGCGCCAAGCGCGCGGTCAACGCGCCTCTCTCGCCGCCGCCGCCATCAACTCCGTCAAGCGCCCCGAAGACGCCATTCCCGCGCCGCCGCCGCCAGCCCCCACCCCAGAGCCGTACATGCCGCGCACGCGCAAGGTCGGCTACGGCCTCGCGGCCGCGGCCATGCTGCCCGCCATCTTCGTGCAGGTGCCGTCGGGCCTCGCCGTCAGCGGCAGCTTGGTCAGCGGCGTCACGTCGGCGAACCAGATCACGCATAACGCGACGGGCACGACGACGGCCACGAGCGGCATGGACACGGCGAACGTCAACTCCGCCGCGCTCAGCGTGGGCTACTCGGTCATCCAGGTCGCGATTGGCATCACCGTCGGCCTCTTCCTCAGCGCGCTGGTCATCTACCCCTTCGGCAAGAAGCGCAGCGGCTTGTTCAGCTTCTAGGCTAGACAGCCAGCCAGCCGCCGGACAGGGAGCGCACGCGCGCGGCTCTTTCCGTTCCCGTTCCCGATCCCGCTCCCGCTCCCGCTTCCGCTCCGTCTCGGGCCCCTGGCTCTCCGCGCGTTCCGCCACTGCGTGCGTCAACAGCGGCGGCCGATCAGCCTCGCACGCGTGCGCCTGATCCGCCAATCCCCTAGCTCTTCCTCCCCTAAAACAGTCAGGCCGCCCTCAACGCCTCCTCCCCCTCCTTTTCGCAACAGGACGCGCAAGCCGCGCGCCCGCATTGGAAGCGCGGACGGCAGATCGCGCGCCAGGGGGCCCCCGCCCCGCCCCCGTCCGTGGGCGCGCGCTTGGAGACGTCATCTGCTCATCTCCCTTTTGTGGCGGTACCGGGATGGCTGTCGAAACGAAACGAAACAATCCGGTTTCGACTCGACTACGCTGGGATGGGATGGGGTGGGTGTCTGCCTTGCCTTGCCTTGCCTTACCTCACCTCGAGGCGAATCGAATCGAGCAGGGTCCACCGACTACCACAACCAACCAACCAACCAGCCCAGGGCGGGAGGCAGTGCAGGCTCGCGCCCCCGCCCTGTGGCCTGCCTTCTTTCTTACCTACCTATCTTCGATCATCTTTCTGCCTTGCCTTGCCTTGGCTGTTCCATCCTGTTTCCGGCCCGGCTAGCCTCGTTCACGCATGCATGCATGCTTCCTCTTTTCAGCCTTACCTGCTTTACTCCACCTCAGCTGTACGCAAGCGTGTACGCAACATCCACGCACGCTCTCCTTTGTAGATCGTCTCGTCTCGTCTCGTCGTTGTTGTTTCACTGCTGTAGCGCTCGTTCGCTCTCCGTCTGTTTGTCTTGTTGATCCTCTCTTGTTGTTGTTCCTTTCGTCATCATCTTCATACCTACTCAGCATACCTATCATGTGAGCGTTCCGCACGCCCTTCGTTCTCCGTTTTGCTTGCTTCCTCTTGCGTTTTTTATTTCATCTCATTTCGTCTCTTTATTATCTTCCGTGCTTTTCTGGTCTTTTTCATCTTATCTTTCCTGTCTTGTCTTGTCTCCTCGTGGCTGGAAAAAGAGTGAGGGCTGCTGGGTCCCGTGCATTTGGGCGGCGAAAAAATGGCGTTTTTTTTTTTTTTTTTTGGATTGTGTGCGCGCCCTGCCTCGCCCTGCCTTGCCCTGCACTGTCCTGCACTGTCTGCCCTGTCTGCCTTGCAACGGTGGCGACGACGGCTGCGGCTGCGGCTGGGCTAGGGCTAGAGGTGGAATAGGAGCCGCGCGCTGCTTGCTTGCTTGGTCGGAGTTTACTGGTTCTGGGTCTGAATGCTCGTTTATTTGTCGGGTAGGGTTCCTGTCTGTCTTCCTGTTGGTGCAGGTCTGAGCGAGCGCATACGTGCGTTGTGTTGTCTTTTCCTCTTTCTCTTTCTTGATTGAGTGTTTGTTCGTTCAACTTTCTTTCCTTTTTTTTTTTTTTTTTTTCGTTTGCTACTCTTTCCATTCCATTCCGTTCCTCTGTTGTTCTCCAAATAGGACGCGCGTCTCTCGTCCCGCGGCATGGCATGTCTGGCGTTTATACTTTTTCTCTTTTTCTCTTTCTTTTTTCCAAGCTTTCCGTCCGTCTTCTATTCCTCTTTTCCCTCTTTCTCGCTTTCTCTCTCGTTACCGCCTACTAACCACTTAACTTACCTAACGCGTCTGATGAGGTTTCGGGTGTCTCGGAGGTCTTCATACATCTCTCTGTCTTTTTGTCTGTTTCTGGTTCTTGCTGCTTGATTGCTTGCTTACCTGCTTGGTCAAGGGGGTTTAGACCTGCCCTCATCTGCCCTACCTAGATAGAGAGATAGATTTGATGTTTTCTGTTTCTTTTTCAAGTTTTCAGTTTTCAGTTTTCTGGTCGCGCGAGTCGGGATGCGAAATGACAGATTAGATATCCTCTGCTTTTTCTGCTTCTGCCTTCTTGAAGAGAGAAAGAAAGAAAGAAAGAACTGCTTCTTGCGTTGATTGATTGCTTGGTGCTGTGCCGTTGTGTGTGTTGACTTGTGACGTAACGTGCCATCTTTCCTTACTCACCTACCTATTTTCCCTACCCTACTTACCTACCTTACCTTTCCCTCCCTTCCCTGGCCTTACTTACCCTACTCACCTACCTCGACTTGCCACAACCCACCTCGCCTCGCCTCGACTCGACCCCTCTCGATACGACTCACCTCAGCTCATCAAACCACCATACCGAACAGACCAAGGCAGGCCAAGCCAGGACAGGCCAAAATAGGACACGCCAAAAATAGCACAACCCGTATGCGAGCGTGCGCGCCCATCTCAACCCTGACCTAGACCCTCACCCTGACCCTGACAACCCGAGCGATCGCCAGTGGTGGCAACGCCGAAAGCGAGCGCAACGCAATAAACCCGGCGACGCGCCCTCCTATTCCCGCCAGCGTGTCAATGCCAGGCCAGTCGAGTCGAGCAAGGGACGCGCCCACCTACATGCCCACTCGCCCACCCCTGCGCGCGCGTGTGTGCGTGCGAGATAAGATTGCGCGCTTTTGATGGCATGGCATGGGTATGGGCGTGGGCATGGGCATGCCACGAATGCCATGCCATCTTGCCACGCGCGCCGTTGCGCGCCATGGCCGCCCATGCCCATGCCCATGCCCATGCCACGCACGGGCGAAGGAGACGCGGCAAGACTTGTCTTTCCTTGCTTTGCCTTGCCCTGCGGTACAAACGTACGTGGGCGTGGGCGTGGGCGTGGGCGTGGGCATGAACGTGCCTTGCGCTGCGGGCGAAACACGCGCCCTGGCTGGGGCGGGTGCACTGTCCTGCGCTGTCCTATCGTGGCCTGGCCTGGCCTGGCTGTGGCTGAGAAGACGTAGCAGACCTGTTTGGCGACTCTCTCTCGACGTCAACGTGCTCGGTGGTAGGTGGTAGGTAGGTAGTTGCGATGGTGTCGGCGTGGTTGCCGCGCGCGCGCGGGACTGGCTGCTTGCGTGCTTGTTTGCTTGCTTTCTTTGGTTCCTTTGGTTCCGTCTAGGCTGCAGGGTCTGGCGTCGTGCGTTTAGATGTATGTGCGCGCGAGCGAGGGTAAAGCAGGTAGGTATGCAGGTAGGTAGAGCAGAGCAGAGCAAGGCAGGCAGGGTAGGTAGGTAAGTAGGTAAGTAGGTAGATCGCGCAACGCCCGTCACCGCGAAGCTCACTTACCGTCTTGCGCGATGGATGGTGATGCTTGTGCGGAGTAGAAGAAGAAGAGAAGAGAAAAGACCTAGTTACGGCGTTTGTTTGTAGCCTGCGTATGTGTGGACTATGAGGCCTTTATACCCGTCTCCAGGATTTAAACCTGTACCGAGACAGGGAGGAGGCTGTAGGGACTGCGCGTGTTGTTCGCTGTCTCGCTAGATGGTGTTCGCGGTTTACGGTTACGGTCGTTGGGTGGTGGGTAGGTAGGGTAGAGCGACGGGCCGGGGCGCGAGCGAGTGAGCGAAACGACGGATGGATGGTTGGATAGACAGAACTAGTTTTATACCTACCCGCTTCCTTGTGTCTCACCCGCGCAGCAAGGTTTGGGTTGGATTGGTTATGGGGTGCGCGCCTAGCCGCAGCTTGCCTGCCTGCCGTCCGTCGTCATGCCGTCCGCCTCACGTTTAGAGAATTCGCGTGTCTTGGCTGCGCATAGTTATCTACCTTCCTTACCCACCCGTTTGCTTCTGGCGAGGGTCGCGTGTGCTAGATAGATGGTGCGCACTCACCTACTGTGGGGGCAGGAGGGCGTGAGCGCCTTCCGCTCTCGTCCGTCCACTCTCTTTCTCTCTCTCTCTCCCGACCGGCCGGCCGACTGACGCAGCGACCTACCTGCCCACTGCCCGGGCAAGACAGATAGGTGGGACAGGCCGCATAGCGGGCAAGCAGAGAACTTGCGCAGCAGCAAATGTATTGTAGCAGCGCAAGTGGCAGGGCAAGACAGAAGAAGAAGGAGAGAGACGACGAAAACAAAAAGAAAAGTAAGAAAAAAAAAAAAAACGGATGTCCATCCGTCCATCAGACCCGACGGGCAGGACAGAGAGGCGGCAGGGCAGAAGAACAAAGCCGCTCTCGACCTCGGGCCCAGCAGCACATGGGGGCAGACGTGCACGCGCGGCGAATTTCGGCCGGTTGGACTCGGATCGGATGATGGGGTCAGCCCAGAGGGAGCATGGAGCGCAGGCGGGGAGGCCCATGAGGACTTATGGCGCTTGTTTGCTTGAGCGAAGCGAACGAGCGCGCAGGGGCCCCGCTGCGAGGATTGCTGCGTGCGAGGGGAGGCTCGCGGTTAGGGAGGCCCGGGTGCGCGCCTGCCTTCTTCTTGTCCTGGCTGCCCAATGCCTGCCTGCTGGGAGCTGGGGGTGCTGTGCGTGCCTGCGTCTGAGATCGCGATGGAAGGATGGGAGAAGCAGGAGAGAAGGAGGGCTTGGTGGGGTGGGTGCGCGGTTGGTGGTAGGTGAGTCGTGGTCGGTGGGCTGCGATGATGCGTGCTTGCATGCGTAAGGTACCTTCCTCTCCTACTCCTACCGTACGAGTACCTGACTGCTGGGGCGGCGGGCGGGCAGCGGGCAAGCGGGCACGCGGGTGGGCGAGCGGGTACACCCATTTAATTCGGGACCCCATGGACCCTCTCTCTCTCGCGCTGGACCCTCTGCCTGGGGACGGGTCGCAGGTAGAAAGCAATAGTAGCGGAAGCATAACAAGTGGAGCGAAAACACTCAAACAAACAGAGCAAGCAAGCAGCCGTTAGCGAGCCCCATCGTATTGTATGGGCAGATGGGGTGTTTGATTTCCCCGGCTAAAACGCAGCGCGACGCCGCCGTCGTGTAGAGGGAGGTATATCAAAATTTCAGGCGGCCCCAAAGCTCAAATCACCTGCATGTTGGCTGCGGCACATCAACGGCGTCAGCAGTCCACGCACCGCTTTATAACAAACCTAGCTAGCTATCGATGATTACTTTTTCGACTTTTTGTTTTTCTGCCGCCGGGCGGCGTGGACAAGCCGGGGCGGGGGACGTGTCACGGCCTGCATGTGCGAAAGGCAAAAAGGAAAAGAAAAAAAAGTGAAAGACGAACGAGCCGCCGGCGGGATGGCTCTCCTATTGCAGCGAGAAGAAAATACGGGAGGGCCCGATGACTACCTCATTTTCTGCGCGGCGCAACGGTCGAAGGAAGCAGCTGGCTTGGGTTGGTGGCACGGTGGTGATTGTAGGCGTGAACGCCGCGGGATGCAGTATGACCAGGCTAGCCCGGCGTCCGAGCCTCGGTTAGTTGTCTGTAAAGGATTGGCTCTCTGGCTGCTCTGGGCAGTGTGGCGTAAGGCATAGGCTGCTGGTGGTGCTGGGTCTTTTTTTTTTTTCCCGCCGACCACTGACCACTGAATTTGCCCGTGGACGGCCCTTGCGGCAGACCCGTCATGCAAGGAACGGTTCCAGAAGGCCAGCGCAGCCCGGCGCATGCAAGGAGGCCCTGGGGAGCAGCAGCGAGCGGGCGGGGGATTGAGTTTTTGTTGTTTATTTGTTTGTTCGCTTTTCTTTGACTACTTTAACTATGAAAGAAGAGGGATGTCGTCTTTTCAACGGGCGAAAGACAGGTGCACACGGTAGGAAAGTAGTTTTCTGCTCGAGCGAAAGCGCTACGAAGATCCGCCTGCTGCATAGGGGGGCGATCAGGTTAGTTTGCAGCATGACTCGTGGAGATTGGATGCCACGAGGCTCCTGGGCAAGCGACGGGCTGCCATTGGCGCAGATCAGGCCCAAAGCGCTCGGCGGCCACGGCGAAAAGGCCCGCTGGTGGCTTGCAGCTGCCGAAGATCGAGGGCGTGAAACGGCAAGCGACAGGATCAGCGGCGAGCGTGATGAGGGCTCAGTGACGCGACTGGGGGCGCGCGCAGGTGCAGGAGCGAGAGAGAGGGAGAGTGAGTGTGAAAGACATGAGGGGGAAGGCAACGAAGTAAGTAGTAGTAAAGATGATTACTATTCTCGGCCTGGGCGCGCAAGGAAGGGAGGAGTAATCCGTAGTTGATAGTGGTGAATGGGGGACAGTGGACAGGAATGCTCGAGGGGAGATAAAGGTGACGGGGCTGGATGCGCGAGACTATCTCCGGGCAAGAGTGGCATCGCGCCGTCAAAATCCGGCAGTGAAATTTGATGATTCCCCCGCCCGCGCCCTAGTCCGTTTTCGGCCCCTCCCCTTAACCAGCAGAGTAGTCAGCATCCCGCCCGACTTCTCTTGAGAGCCCGTCCTCCACCACTCCGTCCGCTTCCTTTCCTTGTGTTGCACTGCATCCCCAACCCGCAGCCTGTCTTGCTGTGTCTCTCCGCCTGCTGTCGCATTATAACTGGCGCCCCGGCCGTCTCCCACCCCCCCCAACGCTCGCCCGCCACCCCCCACCTCCCAACTTCGCTCGCTCCTTCGGCTGCTCGGGCTCGCCTGCCGCTCATCTCCTTCAATACCTGCTCCTCGGCAAGGATCGACCGCCTGAAACCACCTCGCCCTCCTCACCCGACCTCACCGTCCCCCAAACGCCACTCGAGTCGTGTAACTCGCCCATTCCCTTCACACCAAGCCCGACTTTTTGTAATAGTAGGTGAGCCTCTTCCTCTCCCTAACCCGTCTTCGCCGACACCTCGACCTCGCTCGCTCGTTCGCCCTCTCGCTCCGTCGCAACCCACCCTCTCGCTCCGTCGCAACCCACCCTCTCGCTCCACGGCCACGACCCGCCCGCCCTCGCAGCACCCGTGGCCGCCTCCTCTCGCTCCTGCTAACCTCGGATGTAACTGCAGTCTCTTCCGTACATCTGCGGGTCTTTTTTGCGGAAGCCACCTCGTTCCACCCGTTTTCTTTCTGAATCTCGCTTCACTCCCGTCACCACTACCACACCACCACCTCCGCCACAATGGGTTGCGGCATGAGTACCGAAGACAAGGAGGGGAAGCAGCGCAATGAGGAGATTGAGAACCAGCTCAAGCGCGACAAGATGATGCAGCGTAACGAAATCAAAATGCTTCTGCTCGGTAAGTGCCCACTTGCGACCGTGGCCATTGGCCGCTCTTTTGTTTTTTGTTTTGATTCTAACCACAAGCAACAGGTGCCGGTGAATCCGGAAAGTCGACCATCCTGAAGCAGATGAAGCTCATTCACGAGGGCGGCTACTCCCGCGACGAGCGCGAGTCGTTCAAGGAGATTATCTTCTCCAACACCGTTCAATCGATGCGCGTCATCCTCGAGGCCATGGAGTCTCTTGAGCTGCCCCTGGATGACCAGCGTGCCGAGTACCACGTCCAGACGATTTTCATGCAGCCCGCCCAGATCGAAGGCGACAGCCTGCCCCCTGAGGTCGGCAACGCCATCGGCACCCTCTGGAAAGACCCCGGTGTCCAGTCGTGTTTCTCGCGCTCGCGTGAGTACCAGCTGAACGACTCTGCCAAGTAGTAAGTCGCACGCCGTCCCTGCGTGCCATTGGGTCATCCAATCGCACGCCTTTCGGCCTCGGACAAGTCAGCTTACACGGTTTTCCCTTCAGCTACTTCGACTCGATTGAGCGCATCTCCGCGCCCGACTACATTCCCAACGACCAGGACGTCCTCCGGTCCCGTGTCAAGACCACCGGTATCACCGAAACGACCTTCATCATCGGCGATCTGACCTACCGGATGTTCGACGTCGGTGGTCAACGTTCCGAGCGTAAGAAGTGGATCCACTGCTTCGAAAATGTTACGACGATTTTGTTCCTGGTCGCCATTTCCGAGTACGACCAGCTGCTGTTCGAGGATGAAACGGTGAACCGTATGCAGGAAGCGCTGACCCTTTTCGACTCCATTTGCAACTCGCGGTGGTTTGTCAAGACGTCGATCATTCTGTTCCTTAACAAGATTGATCGCTTCAAGGAGAAGCTTCCTGTCAGCCCGATGAAGAACTACTTCCCGGACTACGAGGGCGGTGCCGACTACGCCGCTGCCTGCGACTACATCCTTAACCGGTTCGTGTCGCTCAACCAGCACGAGACTAAGCAGATCTACACGCACTTCACCTGTGCTACCGACACGATGCAGATCCGTTTCGTCATGGCTGCTGTCAACGGTGAGTCTCCTCCTTTGTCTTCTGTACTTTTCGAACCTGACCACTGACGCGCCTCGCTTTAGATATCATCATCCAGGAGAACCTGCGCATGTGCGGCTTAATATGAGAGACGCAGCCGAGGGGTTACGCTAGCGTCGGCAAGTGGGCCTGGGAGACGACGAGTAGACTCCGGAGGAAATGTCTTGGCTATAACGGCCATTGCGATGTCACATACGGCGTTTGAAGTGCGGTTGTCTCGTTTCCCTCGACAGCCGCACATGGGTTCTTTTTTCTATTTTGCTCCTTTTCCTTTTCTGCTCTTTCTTTCAGCTCGTTTTTCTCAACCATGGCAGGAGCAGCGGCGGCGGCGGTTCGATACCAGAATTTCTCACACTCTTCTGCTGGCTTTGGATGGAGGGCGGTTTCGGTAGCCCCTGTCCCGGTCATAAGTTTTCCTTACACAGCTTTTTTTTTTCTCTACCACACCACCGTTCTCGTTTATGTATGAGGACGACCATAGTTATATCTTTGCGCTTTCCACCAATCGGGGGTGAGGTGGGGAAAAAGGAAAAAGGGAGGGGAGCTGGACACAGCGTTGTCTTTCTCTCTTTCCCTCAAGTCTATACTGTCTACACGTATCTCTCTCTCTCTCTCCCTCTCTCTAGTATCTGGTTCCCTGTCTTCTGCCCCCGCATTCGTTGGCGAGTCGCGAAAAACCTCTTGACACCACTACACACAAGCAAAGCCTTTAAGTAAGGGTGCTTCCCTTTTTTAATGTTGACCTGCTACTATTACATTTCATTTCCCTTTCTTTCGTCGTTGTCTTTGTCATCGTTGTCGTCGCGTCATCCTCGTCTTCCACACCTCGAAGTTTTCGTCGTCTGGCTTTTTTTTTAGTTGGTTGGTTGAGCAATTGGTGGGTACGCGGTATGCACGGCACGGGTACGGATACGGTTCCGGGTACTACTATTACAGCGCGCGCGCGCGTGTCGGTTCGGGTTGAGCGCGGGCTGGCATGGTGCCTTGGTGGATGATGGATGAGCGGGGAGAGATCGGATCGATGCGAAGGCGGTGCGGTAGAGATGGTTCGCGCTATGGCTGGTTTGGCTGTGCTGCGGGTCTGCCTACTACTACGTGCTAGGTACTTGGTCGGTTTAATTAGTGCGGTGCATGGCTGGGTTTACCTGCTTTTGCTACTTTTACTACTCCTACGGCTACTACTACTACTACTGCTGCTACTGCGACTGCTACTGCTAATATTGCTGCTACTAGGCTAGTTGCGAGAAAGACCACCCATCTAGGAAAGGGTTGGCGCTGGCTTTTTGTTGCTGCTGCTTCTGTGTGTGCATGTGCTTTGATGGAGTTGCTGCTGTCTGTCTGTCATGGCAGTTTTTGTCAAGATGTCAGAACGCTCCACGCCAACGTCAATGCCAACGCCAACCCCAACCCCAAAGCCACCCAAAAACGCCAACTGCAAGTAGCACGGTAGCACCACTCCTCGTCCCTATCATACAACGAGCTTTCCGGTTTCCGCCCCCAGCGCGCACCCCACTCACTCACGCTCGCTCGCTCGCAAGCTCGCTACTTTAATTACCTGATCGCCTAAATAGGCCAGATGCCTGACTAGCTGGCAAGCTGGCGAGGGCGCGTAGTGCTTATCCACCCCACATCCTCGACCTCTATTTTATTAGGCTTTATTTCCTTTGGCTTTATTTGCTTTAGCGTCGTCGTCGGGACTCGGACTCGGACCTCGCGTCGCGGAGATGCGATGCCTACTACAGTAGCTGCTAGCTACGAAGTACCGCTGGATGGATGCAATAGTTGGGTATTGGGCATTGGTTGTTATTGGTTGGGTGGTTGCTTGCACGGCAGGGTAGCTGTATGTGGGGTTGGGGTTGGATGGGGGTGTGGTTTGGAGATAGCTATATAGGTGCTGCGAGGAATTGGTGGTGGAGTGGCGCAATTGGCGGGCAGGAGTTAAGAAGAGTAGGCAGGTAGAGTAGGTATGTAGGTAGAATAGACATAAACACCAAAACACCCGTCTATGTATGTATCTCGTCTTGTCTTGTCTCGTCTTGCAAGATGCATACTACGTACATACGACCTCTCTTTCGCATCATTCAATCGCCAATCATCAATCGCATCTTCATCTCATCTCAACCCATTTCCAATCAAGCCACCACCTAGTGTCCAGCCTAACCCATCATCCATACCCATCTGACACCAAAGCCCAATCCCCAAACCCTAAGCGCAAACCCTTCTTCCTTCCTGCACTACTCATCTCTAACACTTCTTACTTCTTACTTACCCACGACTCACAGCACGCGCAGCGCAGCACCATCCCCGCACCACCACTGCTGAAACGCTCGTGCCGTGCACCGCGTTATGGCTCCCTCCCTGCCTGTCACGCGAAAAGTGAAAGCCGCGAAAGCTGCGGAAGTTGTGGAGGGGCAACGGGCGCGAACACCACATCACATCAACGACACATGCAAGCAAGCAAGCCAGACGGCGATCAAATGAACGAATGAACGAATGAACGAACGAACGACAGAGCGGCACAGTAGTTAGCTAGCTAGTTAGTTACGGGTCTGGCGCGCGTGTTTCGGACAGCGGCCGTGCGTGCGTGCGTGCGTGCGTGCTGCGTGCTGCGTGCTGCATGCTGCTGCTTACGGGGTTCGTGTGTGAGTGTGCGTTTGAGGGCGCCAGGGGGCGGGCGCGCGCGGGCGCTGTGTTCGTGGGTTGTGAGTGGTGGGTGAGGGGGGGAAAGAGGGAAGGGTATGGGTATGGGATGGGATGGGTGGGGATCGTCAGGGCCGCGGCGCGGGTGCGTGTGAGCTGATTGGTTGGTTGCTGGGTTGGTTAATTGGTTAGTTGGGTGGTGGTGAGGCGGCGCGGCCTTCACCTGCTTGCCTGTGTGTGCCGGTGCCTGTGCCAGCTAGGTGGTTACAAGGAGGGCGTTTGGGAGTGCGAAGCGAAGAGCGAAGAAGCGAAGCGTGATATCTATCGTGATCGTGATCGTGATCTTGGTTGATGGCGTGGTTTCGGTGCCTGGCCTTCCTTAAGACGCTGGAGTTATTGGTTGCAGCGCGTGCGTCTGTCGGGTACAGGCCGTATCGTAGTGCGGCTCGTTCGTCCATCCCATATCCTTCCTTCCGTTATTGTTTGGGACCTGCCCGACGCGGCACGGCCTGCGGCTGCTGACGGCGGAAGGCACCAGGCGAGCCGGCCGGTACCGACGGGCCTAGAATACATAGGCATTCGTCCTCTAGCTTAGAGTAAGTAGATTACTCCTAGATGACGCTACCGCGACCTACATACCGCTAGTTTTATTGCGCCCGGCTTGGTACAGTAGCTGGTGCGCGCAGATGCGTTAAAATAAAATGCGAGCGGCGCGGAGTCTGGGCCGGGAGACTGGCTGGTGGTGGACGCTGGTCGGTGGTGGTGCTGGAGCAAACTAGTGGCGCCGGGTCCGTTTGCGGCGCGGCGCGGCTGGCTAGGGTGCCAGGATGCAAGCATGGGTTGGTGACATTTTCTGTCCCTGGCTGGGGTCAAGAGTTGGCGAAGGGGAAAAAGCTTGAACGAAGAGAAAAAAAGGGTTTCCCCAGACGAGAGAAAGTGTGCGGGTAACCAATGGAAGTCCGATAAAAGCGGCTGGCAGAAGTGACGATAACGCTGACGTTAAGGCTGGCTGGCACGCACACACATCGCACACCGCAAGGTTGGCGGCGACGACGATGATGGTGGAAGAGGGCCTGCGAAGGATCGTCCAGCCCTCTTTCCAACTCGCTTCCCTCGCCTTTCGTCACGATGGAAGGATCTGCTGCCCGCGTCGCGATCGAGGCGGCCATCGCAAAGCTCGACTTCCGATGATTCCAGATTCTGATTTGGCCTCCCCGCAGACGAGCAGACCCTTTTCCCCTTTCGGCCCCCCAGGCGAGCGAGCGAGCGGGCCCCGAGGTCGATGATTTCAGATCGTGCGCGATTGCTGATTGATTGATTGATTTGCTTGCTTGATTGCTTGCTTGCCTTCTTGCCTCCAAGCTCCCATGTCGGCAGTCCGCACTGCTCTCGGCGCGGCGGGGTGGAACGGACCCCGTCATCTCTGCTCCCGCCCGCCATCATCCAATTCCATGCGCATGCTTCCGCCCAATAATTTCCATTTGCGCAACGCGAGTCACCGCCCGTCCCCAGGAGGAAAAGTTGAGAGCTATGTACCGGTGCTAGTCAACTAGGTACATAGTAAGCGTGCGGCTCGCGAGCATCCTCCAGCCCACGGCCCCTCACTCAGCTGCCCCACATGGTAGGCGTCGCCCCAGACTCGAACAGTAGGAATCTTCGAGGGGTACATCATAAAAAGTGTCGCCGGTGACGTCGCCTCCCCCGCGGGGGGCCAATCATGGCCGTGTAGGGCTACGCTGCCGGCCCGCCCAGAACGTGCGCGCTCAACTCTGCCCGCCATCTGCTGCCCTCTTCACGATAGTCCTTCGCCTTTACGTATGTAGCCGGCGATGATGGCACCTTCTCTTTTTACCGGAAGGCAAAGCCTCGTGTTGGCCCTGGGTCCATTTTTTCTGTTCATCGTGACCGGGGCGTGCTAACCAAGACACTTAAGTAAATGCTTGCTCCCTATCGTCGGCTCCCTCTAAGATACGTTTAGCTCTTGCTCTCCTCTATGTCTCTCTTGTGATCGCTCCATTTGCTACTCGACTTTCTGCCTAACCCGTTGATTCCCCCCTCTGCTTAATCCAAAAGATGGCTCCCAGCGCCGTCCCTCCCCCGGCCGTCGAAGTCAAGGAAGTCAAGACTATCCAGTCCAAGTCTCCCCCTCCTGAGAAGGACCTCGGTACCAAGAGGAAGATTATTTGCTTTTCTGGTATGCTCCCGCGCAGTCCTCCAAGACCCCTCATCCCTCCTCGTTCGTGCAAAACTAACGCCCTTCGTATAGACTTCGATGGTACCATTTTCATGCAAGACACCGGTCATATCCTCTTCAACAACTTCGGATGCGGTTCGGAGCAGCGCGCACTGTACGAAAAGCAGATAGCCAGCGGCGAGCGGGCCTTCCGCGATGTATCGGAGGAGATGTGGGGTTCCCTCAACGTTCCGTTTGATGATGGCTTTGAAGTCATGAAGGAAGCGTTGGTGATCGACAAGGACTTCAAGGCGTTCCACAACTTCTGCCTGAACAACCGGATTCCCTTCAACGTCATCTCAGCCGGGCTCAGACCTGTACTGAAGAGGGTGCTTGACCACTTCATCGGCGAGGAGGCAGCGGCGAACATCGACATTGTTGCCAACGACGCCGAAATCTCGCCCGACGGCAGCACGTGGAAGCCGGTTTGGCGTCATGACACGGAGCTGGGCCACGACAAGGCCCTCTCCATCACGCAGTACCGCGAAAAGGCCCAGATCAACGACGACGACGGCACGATACCCATGATCATCTTCATCGGCGACGGCGTCTCGGACTTGCCAGCTGCGCGCCAGGCCGACGTGCTGTTCGCGCGTCGAGGTCTGAAGCTCGAGAACTACTGCATCGAGAACAAAATCTCGTATATTCCGTTTGACACGTTCGCCGATGTGCAACGCGAGGTCATCAAGATCGCCGAGACGGACGAGCAGAAGACCAAGGGCGAGGGCCTGCCGTCCCGCTTCAACCCGCGCGCCAACATGTGGCGCCGCATCAGCAGCAGGAAGGCGGTGCCGACGGTTGCGTCCATGACACCGCGCGACGAGAGGATGTTTGTCTGGCCGGAGCACTTTTCTGAGGTTAAAGGTAACCAGGCGAATGTGGAACCGGCGGGAGCTTGATTGGATGTTGTTATGATTGTTTGTTTGCTGTTTGGATATGGTTGGAATACGGATACCTGTGCACGCATCGGCCGGCGTTTAATGGATAGTATGAAGCTAGAACAAGAATTATTGACAGACAGGACGTTGTGACAGTTGACGGGTGTGAGCGGGTGCCGCGGGCGCGCGATGACGTGCAGTAAGCCTGCGGGGAGGTGCGTCTGAGCCACGGGAGCGGGAGCAGCTCGAGGATATATAATTATCAAGCAAAGATACGCAGCACATCTGCCGTAGCACACTACTGCGCGACGCTGGTAGCCCCGCCAAAGCACCCGCTGGACCCTGTGCGTCCGGCTCAGCTCCTCCTGCTAACTACCTAGCCCATCCCGCTCCAATTCCCGGGCTTACTCGCCCCCTGCTGCCTTTCGCGCGCATTCACTCCCTCCTCCGCCCGCACCTATTCCTGGCCCCCGCGCCCGCTCTACATACTCGTGCCTGGTCTCCCTCCCCGTTCTTGACTCGCTCGCCGTCATCACCGCCTGCTGCTGGCAGCCTCTCGCATACAATCCCTCACCCCTCCTTGGTGCGACCTGAGCGCGCATCGCCAATATGGTCCACCTGTCCTCCCGTCTATCCCTCCCCAACCGCCTCAAGGGCAGTAGCACCTCGCTCAACAAGGACGCCAAGGACTCTGGCGAGCCGCTGTCGCTCAGTCGCAGCACCAGCCCCAAGCTCGCCTTGGGCGACAATCGCCAGGCCAATCTGGTCCTGAGAACCACTGTCCTCAAGGGCCGGGATCTCGCCGCCAAGGACAGGGGCGGCACCAGCGACCCCGTGAGTAGCTTGGGATAGGAGGGGCAGCCAGGCGCAAGGAGACCGTCCGCTGACATGCGCAGTACATTGTCCTCTCGCTCGCAGACGCTCGGGAGGCCACCTCGTCGGTCCCCAAGACGCTCAACCCGGAATGGAACCAGACCTTCGACCTGCCCATCGTGGGCATCGAGAGCCTCCTGCTCGAAGTGGTGTGCTGGGATAAGGACAAGTTTAGCAGCGACTACATGGGCGAGTTCGACGTGGCACTCGAGGATCTCTTCCAGAATGGCAGCGTTACTTCCGAGGTAGGCCCCCGCATCGGACCCCCATAAGAGCGTTGAGCTGACTGGTATCAGCCACGGTGGTTCGCACTCGAAACACGCAAGAAAGGCAAGAAGAAAAGCATTGTTTCCGGCGAGGTCCTGCTGCAATTCTCCATAATCGACCCGATCCACACCTCTGCGACGCCGGACCAGCTGTGGCAGAAGTTCTTGGGTGTTGCGGCCACCGCAACCACTCCTGGCTTGGAAGACGAAGAGCTCGAGCGTTTGGAGAGCGGAGACCTTGAGAGCGAAACCGAAGAGGAGGATGCGTCGGACGAGATCGATGACACTAAAAAGGCTGAAAAGAAGGAAAAGAAGCGCAAGAAGCTGCGCCTTGCCAAGCTGAAAAAGAAGGTCAAGGAGAGGGCGTACGAATTCAATGGAAACTCTGACGTCGCCGGCGTTCTGTTCCTTGAGATCCAGAAGATTACGGACCTGCCTCCCGAGAAGAACAGTAAGTACTATCACTATCACTTTATTTTTAAATCCCGTCTGACCGTCAAAGTGACGAGGACCGGATTCGACATGGATCCTTTCGTGGTCATATCCCTGGGCAAGAAGACCTACCGCACGAAGGCCATACGTCACAACCTCAATCCCGTCTATGACGAAAAGCTTGTTTTCCAGGTCATGAAGCACGAAACGCATTATTCCCTCAACTTCGCCGTCATCGACAAGGACAAGCTATCCAACCACGATTTCGTCGGAACGGGCGACTTTCCTCTGCAGAAATGCGTGTCCGTCGCCCCCGAAGCGGATCCTTACAATGGTTTGTACAAGCTTCCAGAGCCGCGGCTCGAGAGCAACGAGCAGCAGCAGCCTGCGCAGCAGGAAGCCAAGAGGTCCCGTTTCAGAATGCCGCTCTCGCGGTCAGCGTCGTCGACTAGTCTGTCCAAGAGCAAGCCGAGCTTGAAGAAGGAGAGCTCAAATGCCTCGCTGTCGCAACAATATGTGCCCCCGCCAGCACCGGAGCCACCATTGTCGCCCACCAGCATATACTCTCAGGGGCCTCCCACGAGCGCACCTATCAACGTGCCTAGGAGCGATGGCTCGTCCCAGCCCGTCCCTGCGATCAGTGTAGAAGGATCCAGTGGAGAAGATGACGGGTTCAAGGATTTTGAAATAGCGCTGGACCTCAAGAATGAGCGCTGGGAAGAGAAGCATAACCCTGTTCTCTACATCAAGGCCAAGTATATGCCGTACCGGGCGCTGCGACAGCAATTCTGGCGCGCAATGCTCAAGCAGTATGACGCAGACGACAGTGGCTTTATTGATAAGATTGAGCTAGTTACGATGTTGGATACATTGGGCTCGACGCTTCATGACGAGACGATTGACTCCTTTTTCGATCGGTTTGCGGATCAGAACAACGGCGAGGGCTACTTGACATTCGACCAAGCCGTCATCTGCCTCGAGAAACAAATCGAGCAAACACAATGGCGCCAAGGAAGTTCTTTGTCGATGAGGGGCATGCCAGGCTCCTTCCCAGGCTCATATACCCCAAATATGGGTCGCACACCAAGCTCATCATCTCCATCATTGGCTTCCGCCTCTGGCACACCTATCAACAGTCAATCTCAGACCTCAGTGATCCCTGCTCTGGAACAAGATTATCTAGGCGAGGGCGGCGAAGAAGGCGATTACTTGGGAAGAGACGACCTGGCTGACGAGAGGGATGAGGAGCACGTCGTAGAGATCCGCGAGTGCCCCATCTGTCACCAGCCGCGTCTGAACAAGAAGTCGGATGCCGACATCATTACGCATGTTGCTACTTGCGCCAGCCAGGACTGGAGGCAGGTCAATAACATCGTCATGGCTGGCTTTGTGACTTCCAGCCAGGCGCAGAGGAAGTGGTACTCTAAGGTCATCACCAAGGTCGGATACGGTGGCTACAAGCTTGGCGCCAACTCCGCGAACATTCTGGTGCAGGACCGTATCACTGGCCAGATCAACGAGGAACGCATGAGCGTGTACGTGAGATTGGGCATTCGCTTGCTGTACAAGGGCCTCAAGAGGGGCGAGATGGAGAGCAAGAAAGGTATGTTAATTGTTACTGTCGGTTGTGTGTCAGTCTGCTAACTGTAATCAGCCCGTAAGCTGCTCAAGTCTTTGAGTATAAAGCAAGGAAAGAAATACGACGATCCTGCCTCTGCCGTTGAGATCGCCGGTTTCATCAACTTCCATCAGCTCGACATGTCCGAGGTGCTTCTCCCCATCGAGCAATTCAAAAACTTCAACGAATTCTTTTACCGCGCGCTCAAGCCAGGCGCGCGTCCTTGCTCGGCACCAGAGGACCCTCGCATCATCACTTCGCCCGCCGACTGCCGTAGTGTGGTCTTCAACAACATCTCGCACGCGCAGGAGGTCTGGGTCAAGGGCCGCGCCTTCACCATCGAGCGCCTGCTGGGTAAGGCGTACCCAGAGGACGTCAAGCGGTTCGAAGGTGGCGCACTAGGCATCTTCCGTCTCGCACCGCAGGACTACCATCGCTTCCATATCCCTGTCGATGGTGTAATGGGCGAGCCTAAGACCATCGAGGGCGAGTACTACACCGTGAACCCTATGGCCATCCGCTCAGCGCTAGACGTGTACGGCGAGAACGTCCGTGTTCTGTGTCCCATTGACAGTGTCGCCCACGGCAGGGTCATGGTTGTATGTGTCGGTGCAATGATGGTCGGTAGCACTGTCATCACGCGTGAGGCGGGTGAGCAGGTTACCAGGGCTGAGGAGTTGGGTTACTTCAAGTTCGGTGGCAGTACTATTCTGCTGCTTTTTGAGCCGGGTGTCATGCGGTTCGATGATGATCTCGTTGACAACTCGAACACGGCATTGGAGACCTTGGTAAGTTTATCATTCTTTCCCCATACTCTTCCACTTCTGTTTAACACGCGATTTAGGTACGCGTTGGCATGTCCATCGGTCACAGCCCCAACCGGCCCCCGCACACGCCAGATATGCGCAAGGAGAACCCGTCGAACGAGGAGAAGCAGGACGCCAAGCGTCGTATCGAAGGCAGTCTGGCGCCGGAAACGGGTGCTGGCCCTATGACTGCAAACATGCAGTAGACTTCCGTAGCACTTGTGATAATGACGGTGTCCGGCTGGGTTACGACGGGTTGGGAGTGGTTATAGCGTTGTAGCGTGGCGGGATCTTGTTGGCTTCTCTGGCTCCTCTTTTTCTTCTTGAATGAAATGCAAGCGGATTGATTCTAGATGAGTGGATGGTAGATGGATGATGTAGTGATGAGATGTGCGGTGGTGATGGGGTGTTTGCTTACGGCACGTGACCGGCCTCCGGGTTTGTTTTGATTTCTCCCCGGCAGCAAGCAGCACGCCCCTCCGACGAACGCCAACTCGCAGCACGAGCGACTTCCCTGACACGCTCATCACAACCACCACTATTCCATTAACCGCACGAGATCACTACCGAACGCCACCTCCATCAATCGCATTGCATTGGCCCCGGACGACGGCGCACAACGCGCGCAGACGCCATTCCATTCGAACCTGAGCCCGGGCCGTGACGACGACCCGAGACCCAGGGTCAACAAACAACAGCAGCAACCCACGACACTTACACAGCACCTCTCGCAACGCCGCACGCGGAGAAACTCGGCGCCACATGACCGCCCTCGTTGTGCGCTCGCCCTTGCAGACTCTCAGCATGTCATCGACACAGCGGGCGACGACGACGACGCGCCGCCGCAGCGCGCGCCACGCCTTTGATGCCGAGGAACAACACGATGCCGCGCCCATCGCGAAGCGCAGCAGGACAGAGCCGGAAACGAACGGCACGGGCGGTGGGAAGCAGGCAGGTGGGGGGAAAGTGAACGGTGCGGCGGTGGGGGGCAGGAAGACCAGGTCTGGTGAGTGGTTTCGGTTTTCTAGGCGAGCTGCTGTGGTGAGGGCAGTGCGGACGCGCATTGCGGATGAGCTGCGGCAGCCCGTGTGGTGGAAGAGCCTCTGAGGATGCTGATGGCTGACGGGTTGCGCACAGCGGCCTATGACGAGGAGGACGACGGCTTCACTTTCTCGCGCAAGACGCGCTCGCGGAAGTCACAGAAACAAGCAGACGCCGCACCGGAGCCCGCACCGGCGCCTTTGAAGACACAGAAATCCTCGAGAGCAGTGAAGCCCGCGGCGAAACCTGCCCCCGCCGAAGTGAGCGCGTCAGCGCCAGCTCCCCCACCTGCACCCGCACCCGCAAAGAACTCGAAAAAGAAGACTTTGGCTGCGATTGCGCCTGCGGTTGCGGACGAGATTGCGCCCAAAAGACGGCGGTCTGCGCGTTTGTCGGGTGACCATATGAATCAGACTCAGCAACCAGCGCAGTTCTCGACGCCCGTGGCCGATAAATCGCAATCGCGCGCGAAAAGGCAGTCTGCGAAGAAGAACGACCAGACTCCGCATGGCGACGATAGCTTGGCGCTGATCGGGGAACAAGCACACTCAGACCAGCCGAGCCGCGAGGGCACCAAGATCGCGCTGCCGTTCGCTGACACGCCCATTATCAAGCGGAACAAGGAGATGCGCAAGGGTGGTGCATCAGGACACAGGAGAAGCAGCACGGGATTACGCGGCCGACGAGCCAGCTCGCTCATCGACAGCGGTACTTCAAATGGTGGGGACCCAACACTAGAACACGACCAGTTGGACGAGGTATCTGCGGACACAGATGTCGGCACGTCGGATTGTGATTTCATTTTAGGACAAGACGCTAACGCTATTGATGGGACAGCCATGCCGCATGCGGAGGTCACACCGGAGGACTTTTACAAGCACATTGAAGACAGTTTGCCGGAGCCGAGGCGCATGAAGCAGTTGCTTACCTGGTGTGGAACGAGAGCACTGCCGGAGAAGCCGTCAGGTGAAATCAAGGACGCGAGCGCGGTCATGGCAGGTGAGGCTCAACGGCAGTCCCGGCAGAGGAGCGAAAGACTAACGACAAGCAGCACGTGCGATACAGCAGGAACTTCTCAACGATTTTGCGAGCAAATCGGAATTGTCGGATTGGTTCAATAGAGTGAGCAGCCTTTGCGGGAACATTGGCCACAAGACCGTGGCGCTGACCACACGAAACAGGAAGATGCAGCGCCCACCGAGCTGGTACGAAAGCCGAACCCGCGAAACGTGGAGATGGCGGCGAAGCTTGAGGAGTTGGAACGAGAAGTCAAACGGTATGGATATAGCAACCTAAGATGCTGAAAGGCAGGTATGAGTAAAAGTGAATGCTAACACCCAATTCTTCGCAGACTGGAAGACGAAAAGAAGACGTGGGAAGCGCTGCTCAAGACGCCAAAAGCATCAACATCAAAGGCCGCCGCCGCCAACAAGTCGCTACAGCCCTCGCCCGCAGACACGGCGCCGGACATTGACGCCTCGGTCCTCGACCCCGAGCAAGCAGCCATCCTAGCCAGCCTGACAGGCCTATCCCTCTCCACTGCTCCCAACGATACCACCACAAAGGACACAGACACGGCCTCTGCAGACACGGCGAACCAACAACCTCCAACAACCACAACCCCCGCCAGCGCAAGCAGCACAGAAGCCATCCATGCGCGCCTCGCCGCCCTCGCCACATCCCTCGAGCCCAGCATCGACCTCTTCGCCGACGGCGTCCACACCCTCACCCAGTACCGCGGCGCGGCGGAGCGGGCGGCTGACGCGGCGCTGGCGCTTGCGGCTGGACGGCTGGAGGAGCGCGATCGTGCTGCGCGGGAACGGGCGGGCACGCTGGCTATGGGCGGGGGTGACGTGTTGAGGGCTTTGGCGGGGGTGCTGGGGGGTGGGGGCGGGAGTGGAAGTGGGGGGAGGTAGCTTGGTGTGTGGTGAGCTGAGGTTAGGGTAGGGGCGGCCGTATATAATGAGGTTTTTGGTGGGTGGCTTTGCTGGCTTGGGAGGGTAGGGGTGTGGGATGTGTGAATGATGAGCTTTTTGCTGGGGTTGGTCGTTTTTTTTTTTTTTTTTTTTTTTTTTTTTTTTTTTTTTTTTT